AATCTCAAAGTGACGATACATATGAACAAATGATCAAACAGCCCCATACCACAAGTTTTCAATCTCAGAACAATCATTTTTTAGCCCATGATGAGCCGACAAGTTGGATCCCTTCACCGCTCATTTTCCCATCCAGCCAACCTCCAAAACCCCATTCTCATCATCCCACTTTTTGCTTTCCCGCCACCTGAATCACCCCATATTAACACATCATCCGGCATGGATTCTGATGCTAACTCAGACATCACAGTTTTTCACACAATCTCCCAATTCGACAATTCAGATTTAGAAACCCCTGACGAATTTGCTAGTTCAGAACCCTGCCCGTCCACATTTTCTCAACCCCCCTTTCGACACATCCACTCCCATGCCAAAAGTGAATCCCCCTTTACTCTCTCTCATATCTCCCAAGCGACACCAACATACTCCCTTTTTACGAATGAACGCTCAAACAACAATTCCCCAGATAACACACATATCATACGAACTAAACAACCTAATAACACTGCAACAACAAGTACAACATCATCAAACATAAAGACATCAAACTCACCAACTCCCACACCTTCTTCAGATTACACCCCTTCTTTAGCCCAATCCTCAACATCAATCCAATCATCATCCAGTACTAACCGTGCATTTAGAACTTTCAAAAGAAAATTTCCCAATCACCCGTTTCCCTCCAAACCCGGAATAGTAATAGACTACATAAACCATCCTGACCATACAAATACTACCAAAATTCTCCAATTATTTTTACGCTTCTTCCCTCAATATACATATACTCACTCCGACCCTATCACTGAACAACCCCACTATGTCGATGAACATGTATTAATCCCCACACTCCATTGGACATCATATTATCACTTCTCAAACCCACTTTGTTTACCACTCATTAACACACTGCAAGAAATAGAAAGAACTAAAATGACCTTTTCAGACTAACTACAGCACTAACACCTGGACAATTTACACATCAGGATACAAAAAACTATTAAAAAGGTTCACCGCACCCCGAGCTAACGAATATTCCATCGAGCACTACGACCATAAAATCATCCGACGTAACCAAGATCAATTCCTCGATGACGACAAGTTTGCTAGCCCGCAACTAACCGAAAAGTTTTTCATCCGAACACCTTACATTTTCACACTCATTTTACGAAAAATTTGAAACCTTCTCAAATTCCACTTCCTGACACCAAAAGAACAAGATTTGCACTGTTCACACGACATCATGTTGAGAACTAAACAGACACATACTTACACTTATTATAAAATCATACAAAATCACTTTGACTTACATACACCATCACGACAACCCCATCATCGATATCAATTCATTAACTCCAAATACACATCACCGTTTTTTCTTAACTTCACATATTGCATTAAAAATACTAACTTTCAAGGCATCCTCCGCAACTATGATCCCATCACCCAGATGTATATATTCTAACCCTAACCCTAACCAAAACTTTCAATGTAGAAAAATCCCGACCACTAATTGTCCCGCACGAATAAATACAACCTGTCGAAGTTTCAATTTTAGAATTTATACACAATACTAAATATATTCACAAGCTTTTTAACCTTATCCAGAGCACACCTTACGAAGTTTCCACAGCAGCGGTCGGTTTTGACAATGGAAGAGAAACACAAAACAAAATAGTCTGAACAGTAACCAAATTAGAACAGGCATCGAAGAATCTCTAAGGAGAGGAACGAGATTAATGGGCGCGAGTTCAGCTATCAATTACCATACGGCACGAGAGTGCATGGCCGTATCGAGACCGACTGTTCCAGCGGCGAGAGATGACACAAAAAAAACAGAATGACCAACCTGCGAGAAAAATTTTGCAGAAGCTACAAGATAGAAAAGAAAAAAGTCGAACACAATGATGTGAAAATTTTACAACTAAGAACTTTTTGAGTTTTTCTGATAACAGGGCGTCTCACTGGCCGGATAAGACACCTGAAAACAAATGAGATGCTATATTGTCACATCATCTGGATGCCTGTGGTATTTCCATTATTTAAGCAGTAAATCCATTTCTGTGACCTTGACAAATTCAATCTGAATGTCAAGACAAAACTGGCAGGTCGCGATCGAAACATCTCCCAACTACAAGTGCTTTTTCATCGTTAGATCTATGCTAACTTTAAGTCTATTTTAAAAATCGCTTGTTTCAGTTTATCACTCTGAATTTCAATTTTTGTCACTCATTTTGTCTGTTGTATCATTCTAGCGAGATACTATTATCGAAGAAAACCGCTGCTACTCAGTTCTGATTTTCAGGATACACCCATTAAACCCCTCTACATAGAGTGAGGATAAGTATCAGACTTTATTTTGATCCTTTTTTAGCTTGAAATTTTTTGAGGCTCCATATGTAAAAAAGGGATGCTCTGTTCTTTAACCATTCCCCAGTTTCACAATGTACTCAGTTTCAGAGCGATATTTTTACCATTCCTTTTATAAGACGTAGTAATGAAAACCAAACAAGACTGCTCGTATCAGGGCGAAGCCCTGAAAGTTCCGACTGCCTTTTAACGTTTATGGAGCAGTAATAACATAAACAACATAAAAAAATTGAATGAAATAAAAAAAATGAAAAACTTTTCTAAAATTTGAAATTTTTTAATTGAAAATTATCCCCCCACACGCCAAGAAAACAAAAACCCACCCCGAGCACAAATATTCCGTTACTTTCGTATCGAAAGTCGGAACAAAAAGACTGATTGAAGTAACTTTTGAAGTACCGCCCTAAAATATTGGAAGTAAAAAGATATAGGTCCACCTTACACAAACAATCAAGTGCTAAATGATAAGCTCTGTGTGTGTTATTGCAATATTTGGGTCCATTGACTCGCTTGAATTTGTTTTGGAGTGTTTTTTGAGCCTCCTTTTGGTTTAAGACTCCCCTATGAGCTACGAGTTAATTGAAAAGTGGTAAAAATTACTTTTTATTTATCTCATAACTTTTGAGGCCCTGTTAACTTTGTGAACAAATCAAAAATCTCAAATCAGAAGTCTCTTTTTGTGGATTTTATCTTTCAATTTGAGCTCAATTTGAAGCCAAACAATCTATGAAAAGTTGCGTGTTAATGGAACTTTGTCTTGAGATAAAAACTGAGATGAAAATTGAAGTTACTTATTTAACAATAGCCAAATTTGATTAAAAAATTAATCTTTGCACTAATTTGCACTAAATAAATTTATAGTTTCTTTTTCAGTTCAAGTTTCAGCACGAACATACACAACTGAAAATAAAATTTTTTAAGTTTGTTTTCGTATATCTCAACAACGAAAAACAACTAAGTCTTCTATTAAATATTAAATCTGTATTAAAAATGAATGTAAATAGGTTGGGTGAAAAACAATTTACATCGAACTAAATGAATTTAAACCAATTTAAATCGAATAAACATCTCTCAAAAGCTATAAAGAGGCAAAAACATAGACTTAAATCATTGTTGAATCATATTGAATTGATTCTCATTAAGAAGGAAAAAGACCAATTTAATTTCATTTAAAATTATCCAATTCCATCATAACTGTCTATTTTTTTCACCTTCCTACTTTTTGATAAAAAAATAAATCGATATTACTTATATAAATCGAAGAATGAAAATCGATATTACTTGATTAAAACCGAATTAATTGGTTTCAAATTAACTTAAATTGATTCATTTACTCCAAAAAAACAAAGCTATAAAAAGACAAAAACATAAATTTAAACTGACTTAGAATCAATTTGAAATGATTTTTCCAAGCTTGGAAAAAGATCAAGTTAAATCAATATCAGGATAGTCCAAATCTAGCCTAACTTCCCATTTAACGTCTTTCTTCACTTCCCACTTATTTGTCCCGACTTTCGAAGAAAACGGAATATTTATGCTCGGTGTGGTTTTTTTTATTCAGTCAATTTTAACCGATCGAAATTATAATTTAAACGAAATTTTTTTATACCCGATTGAAGATATCGACTTGCTGAATTCAAATGTAAAAAGATATTTCACCTCCGATGTTTTTTTTATAGTTCTAGGGGTTTAAAACTTGCCAAATTTGCCATGTTCTGGACTAAAGTATGAGCGCTTTGAAGAGTTCTTATTGATAATGCTGAGAGCGTAACGCGAATTATTTATGCATCGCGACTTATCGCAAATTATGTCTCTGGCTGAATTGTATGCATACTTTTGACTGAATATCAAATCGGCTGAATTGTCTTCGACCAAACTGTCTGGACGCGTACCGCACAACGAAATTGTTCCATATTGAATTGAGGCTAGCTAATTGGTCGTATTAACTTTGTACGACACAAAATTTTACACTTAGATATTGCCCAAAATGTATAGGTTTTCAATATTTTTATCCTCAAAAACTATTCGATATGAATTAAGGGACAGTCGGAACATTCAGGCTTTGCCCTGATATACGAGCACTCTAGTTTGATAGTAAATTCGATCTCAACTTGTTCCACATACTTTTTTGACAGTAAAAAGGATCTTAATCCTTTTTTGACAGTGCGGAGAAAAAAAATGTTCAGTTCGTCTTGAGACTGATCGAAAGGCCAGTTTTCTAAAAAAAAAACACAAACAAGTTGTGTCTTTTCTGCAAACCTTGCAGTAATAAAAATGGGTTAAGATCTTTCTTAACATCAAAAAAAAGTGTGCTCTAAATTAAACTAAGATCGATTTTTGGGCGTTCTAGGAGAATTAAGTTCATCTCGAATAAACATTTCCAATAAAAGAATTTAAAATGGTCTATGTTTACAAACCAATCCTTAAATTTTGAATTTCTCGAGTTCTGAAAATTCATTTCGTCGACCTAATTTTTTCTTAACCTAAACGCCGAAAATCCCCCCTCCTCCTCGCAAAAATCTCAAGTCCGTCCGGGCGTAGAAACATTAGCTAACTTAAAGTGTGAATGTTGCAATAACTAAAAATTCAAAGCATTGATTGATTTATTTTTTGACAAAACAATGAAATTTTAGGTGGCAACGGTGCAATGGGCGCTTACAACAAGTACCCATCCTCCGTCGTGCCCGGACACACTGAGAAGGTATCCCCTCCCCTTTCGCCCCATTCTGGGGGGGCGGGAGACAAGGAAGTGATGAATGAGATCGACCAGCAACTAGAGGCTGCGATGGACAATGAGGGGGGAAATAACCCCAGTGGAATGAATCCCTACCCCACCCCTCCTAACCCCTGCCCCCTCCCCTACCCGGACGAAGAGGGAGAAGTGAAACCATACAACGGTAAGTTTGTTTTCACCCCATCCTCATCTACAAACACAATCAAATTCAGAATTCAGCTGTCAATCAATTATGTTCATAAAAAGGACATAGACTGATTTCAAACCATAAATCAAAACTATCAACCTGTTATAGCGTAATTTGAAAATCTATGTGACTAAACAATTGGTTTTATTTTTGTTTTGTTAGAAAATTTTACTTGGCGATCTGTATTTGAAGCTTAATTTGAAACTTCCAGTAAAAGTGAATTTGGGTTGTAAATTGAATTAATAGGTCGAATCAATGTCTGGATCTGGAATTTTTTTACTGAGCAGGAGGGAAGTGGTTGGTTTCAAAAAAAATATCAAAACTTTCGCCATATTATTTTTCAGATAGACCAAAAAGCTCTTTTCCCCACCACCTCACCCAAACATGAACTTTATGGTGTAACGATTAGTTTTTTCAAGGTTAATTATGAAGAACTAAAATAGCTTTCCCGAAACACCAAAAAAAACAGACAAGTTTTGACTTTTTAAAGAAATTTTAGCTAAAAAAAGTACGCTCAAAAAACTATATGCAAACGAACAAGCCATCGAATTTTTCAAGTGCCCACTTCAAAATATCTCGTTCTTGAGTTTCAGTTGCCGATGGATGCATTCCGAAATGGATGGATGAGGCGGAGCTCAGCAAGTGGTTTCAAGACCAGCAGGTCGGCAAGAGTGATTCTGAACATAATCAGGGCGCTGACAAGGTACCATAATCATCTTGTAATTACCATAGTTAATTAGCAAAGTACTGAGAATTTTTTCATTTTCAAAAAAAATCAATGTTTGGCGCAGTTTTTTTTCTCTTCTTATTTTATATACGAAAAACTACTTTCTTAGAGAAAAAAAATTGTAAGAAAATTCATAAAAAAGGAAAGAAAAAACAAAATGAAAGGTAAAAAAACGAGTTTTGTTCAGGGCCACGTCAAAAAGTCAGTGTCGCCGCATTTACCATCTTATCTGAAGGCAGAAGAGAAACGAGACTCAATTCAAATGAAAAAAGGATAAAAATAGAAAGGATAATAATAGACAAAAAGACATAAAAGAAAAACGAAGAATCATAGCGGATGCCCATAGTCTGTCTGAACGACAACTTCACATCATTTAGGTCAACATTCTTTTGATTTTGATCATATATAATTCTGTGAACAATTTATGTTTTCAACCATTCAGTTTTGAAAGACAAAAAAATCAGCAGTAGTTTTTACCTGTTTACCGTACTTTTCACTAAGCTCAAGTTTAGTTTTGTTGGTATTTTAGAAGAGCTCTTTACAAAAAAAGTGTTCGCATCATGAATTCCTTAGCACGTGTGTCGGTACCATTGTGTTTTAGTCATAGTTCCACCCAAACTTCAAGACACTATCTTCGGCAAAATAACTCAATCAATCAATCAAACAAATTAGTACGACCCAGAATCTAAGTCTAAGGGGTTGCATTTTAGCTAACCATTGGCTTAGCAAAGCAATAACTTCTGAATCTAGGCTACATGATAATTATCTAAACGAGCCATGAGATTTGAAAAACTGGAAGCGAAAAGTAAAAAAGCTATCAGAAAAATGCAGTGTTTGATGAGCGTTAACAATCTTTCCTAAGTGGTCAAACTTTAAAATCAGAGTGTTCAAGACTTTTTCATACCTTAATTTGGAACAAGACTGCCGTATCAGGCCGAAGCCCTGAATGTTCCGACTGCCTTTTAAGGTTTCTGAAGCATTAATAACATTAAAAAGTTAAATATAATAAAACAAAATGAATTTTTTTGTCTAAAATTTGAAATTTTTTAATGAAAATCCTCCCCCCACACGCCATAAAAATTACAAAAGAATATATTCAGCTCCTTGTAACAAATCAATTATCGCAAATAAGCTTCTTTCAACCAATTTGGAACAATTTCTAAGACGGATTAACTCTCCGCTTACGCGTTAATATCGCGAAATATATCGCGCGTATTTGTCCCAAATTGGCCCAAATGGCAATCTTTAAACCCTCATAACTTCGCGAAAAATGATCACAGGTGAAATATCTTTTCAAATTTGAGCTCAAGACATTAATACTTTTCGAATGATATTTAAAAAATTACGTCAAAAATGGCTAGCTAAAAAGTCGAAATTTGTCTGAAGAAAAAAAAACCCACCCGAGCACAAATTTTCCGTTACTTTCGTTTCGAAAGTCGGAATAATGAACAGATGAAAAAGTGAATTACAGACAGAGAGGTTGGTTTTGAGCATTGTGGTCGATGGCATTGGCATAAGAACACTTGGAATTGTTATATACGGTTCTACGAAAACAGTTGAGCTGCGTGTTAGTGTTTTCATATTCCGGCCCGCACTCACTAAAAAGAGAAAATAATCGATTACATAAGGTTCAAATCGTAGTTTTAGCAATTTTATAATGAAGTCTAAGCGCCAATTTCTGATGTTTTAACAATTTATAATCCATTATAATGATAATATTTTTTAATGAATTATAATTGATAATTCGATCAAAAATCTCTTAAAATCTCTTATAATCTGTTTTAAAATGATTATAATCCTTTTTTTAATCAAAATATTATCTGACAAAAAAAATCAATTCAAACGAATTATAATTTAGCTATTCTGCTTGACAACTATTCTGTAAAAATCAAATTTAATTTAAGTTTAAGCTATAAGCAGGCGCAAATCTAGGATTTTCTCGAGTGGCGGGGGGGGGGGGGAATTTTCAAAAAATTTTCGAAAAATTTGTCCACCTTTTTTTTGGTTAACTAGATTGATTCCAAGCTCTCCCAAGGCATTAAAAGACCTGTTTTGGTCGAATTTTCTGCACCGCAAGCAAAATTTAGAAAAAACGGGCCAAAAAGAAAGGCATTCTTAGGCACTTTTTGAAAAAATTTGACCAAAAAAATGCACCTCCCTCAAAAAAAAAATCTATTTAAGGGTTAGTTAGCCAAAAAGTGATATCTCAAAATAATGAGGAACATCAAAATAGTGGGGGAATCTCAAAATAGTGGGGGGAAATGGGGGACCTTTTGGGTCGGGTCCCCGAGAGGGGGCGTGGGTTGCGTCCCCCCCCCCCTAAATCCGCTGGTGGCCATAAGTGCAAAATTACAGTTTCTTTTAATTCGGTAACCAACTGAAAACCACAAAAAAAAATAAAAAAATAAAACGAAATGAAGCGACGACGTTTTTTTAAAAAATAATTTTGGATTATAATCCATTATAATGGATTATAATTCAATAAATTTTGAGAAACAGACTTTCAAAAAATAATCGATTATAATCAATTATAATTGATTATTATGATTTCTATTGTTTCGAAAAAAATCAACATTATGATCCATTTTTAATCAATTATAATCAATTTTTTTTGAAATTTATGGAGACTGACAATAAAAATTCGTTATTATCTATCATTTACTCTTTTTTCTGAGTATTACTGGGTATTGGTATTTTGATAAAAGTCTGCATGTCTTGTTTGAGACGTCTGCGAGTTCATCCAAGGACTGCGCTGAATTTTGATTGACGTATGTTTGCACTGTTTGATTGAAAAACCAGGAAGTACAACAGTCTTATGTGACGTCAGCGAAAAATGAGACACAAGCGGATTGAGTTGAGCAAAATTTTGGAACAATAGTTTACCGAGTTTAAAATATCACAGGCACTGCAAAACAATTTTAAATAGTTCAATTTGACAGATAAACACGGATGCCGTGATTTGGAAACAAGATTGAACAACTGGGTTATTACGGAACTCTTCGAAGCCATCTTGGGTCGGGTCCCCGAGAGGGGGCGTGGGTTGCGTCCCCCCCCCTAAATCCGCTGGTGGCCATAAGTGCAAAATTACAGTTTCTTTTAATTCGGTAACCAACTGAAAACCACAAAAAAAACAGTTGAGCTGCGTGTTAGTGTTTTCATATTCCGGCCCGCACTCACTAAAAAGAGAAAATAATCGATTACATAAGGTTCAAATCGTAGTTTTAGCAAATTTATAATGAAGTCTAAGCGTGACGGTTCACTTGGTGACGGTTCTCATTTTGACTCCATTTCTTAGTTTTGTTCACTAAAACTTCTGCCCTCTGATTGGCAGAAGTATCTCCCCGGACAAAATTTTTCCCTCGGTAATTTGGTTTGATTTTCGGTTGCAATGAGATTAATGTCCTGCAGAGTTGCTAAGAGTTGGTTTAGCATCATTGTATTGTCGCGCTTTATGGGTAAGTTAAACGTTTTTGAGTTGTAACCATGTTTCAAGCGTATTTTTCTTCAGTTTTTTGATGAGCCAACAAAAAAAACCTCGTTTGTTGATGAAACAGCTTTCTCTAGACCGTGTTTTTTGCTATTAACAAGGCAGTATTTCCTACAAGAGCTCCGAGCAGCCACTCGTTTGCGGCGGGCAATAATGGGTTGGTATTCATTGTATATTATACTAACAAAAACCCATTAAAATTGAGTATAATTAATTATAATGGATTATATGGATTAGATACCGACTATAAAATGACTATATAATAAATTATGATCCATAGGCGCTCGGTGCGTGGTGTTATGTGTAAAATCTGATAATCTTACTTAAGCAAACATAAAAATTTGTATCTTGTGAAGCCTTAAATCAATCACCTCTTGCTGCTAGCGCAAAATATTACAAATTTCAGAGCAAAATTTTCTCACTTGAGAAGTTCAACTTATTGTTTTTCTCGGTTTGTGATTTTAGCCTAATTGTTCCGACTTTCGATACGAAAGTAACGGAATATTTGAGCTCGGGGTGGGTTTTTTTTTTCTTCAGACAAATTTCGACTTTTTAACTAGCCATTTTTGACGGAATTTTTTTAAAGATCATTCGAAAAGTATAGTTGTCCTGAGCTCAAATTTGAAAAGATATTTCACCTGTAATTATTTTTCGTAAAATTACGGGGGTTTAAAGATTGCCATTTTGGCCAATTTGGGACAATTAACGCGCGATACATTTCGCGCTATTAAGGCGTAAGCGGAGATTTAATCCGTCTTAAAAATCTTTCCAAATTGGTTAAAAGAAGCTTAATTGCCATAATTGGTTTGTTACAAGGAGCGAGGTCTATCCATTTGTACTTTATATGGCGTGTGGGGGGATGATTTTCATTAAAAAAATTCATAAAATTTTTTTTTGTTTTATTTCATTGAATTTTTTAAATGTTATTACTGCTCCATAAACCTTAAAAGGCAGTCGGAACATTCAGGGCTTCGCCCCGATACGAGCAGTCTTGTATTAGCTTTGAATTAGCTTGTGGTCATTTAAAACAGATGCCAATTGGTATTAGGTTATATAGTGAACCGTTGATGCGGAATCCACTGCTAAAGAGGTCCGCTTTTGGAGATGATTTCGAGCTCCGTGTCTGGAATGCATAGTGGTATTTTATCTAAAAAATTGCGTTCAAATTTTCCACACTTTTGCTGAGTAACGGCTAATTTTTCCCTTTTATTTTTTTTATTTATTTTAAACTTTTCTTGTTATGGGAGTTATTGTCCAAATTTGCTTCACGAATATGTTTGTCATATGTTTAGAAATTATGTATTTTTGATTTAGACAAATATTTAGCCTCGAACAAGCTAAGCTCTGTTCTAATTTCAAAAGACCGGCATGACAGCTCAATGCAAAACAACTTCACCATCTTTATAATACTCGAACACTCGCGTGACAATTGGTGGTACCCATTTCTGCAAAACAAAACCACACCCAAGCTTAATGTTCATTTTCTCTGCACGGAGAGAATATAGACGGTCAAATAGCTCCTACGTTAAGTCATAAGGAGACGATGAATCTTATTGAAAAAGCTGATAAAACCCTAAGCCGATTGAATCTGCACGACGAAAATTGCCAGGCGCGACCGACTTGGCGCAATTCAGAGCGGTGACACTGAGTCATGACCTTTCCAAGTCTGATCCTCAACAGCTCAACTACAGAGAAATTTGAGACTGGCTCGACAAAATTTTGTCAAATTTAGATCATCCAAAACCGTCAAGATGAAAAATGTTTACAATCTTCACCCGATAGGACTAATGGGACACTGATACTATTCGGATGAGTGATGTAACAAATAATTCCACGCACACACTTCGAAACATAATTGACAACTTTTAAACTCCCATAATTCTGCGAAAAGATCATAGGTAAAATATGATTTTGGAATTGAGCTGAGTGAGTTATAACCGGGGTGGTTAT